CTTTTCTTCTCTGAATTGAGTGATAATTTAAATTTTCGCCGTTTTCTTTTAAACTGTTGATGCTAAAGTTTACAAAATCGATACAAAAAGATTAAAACTATCATTTGTCATGTTTGAAGATACTGTAAAGATCTAACTTTTGCACAACCATTGTTTACGGCTTCGTGTTCACGCATGAATTACCCGTCAATCAAACTGATCCTTTTTTTTGAATGGTTTCCTTTCTGATTATTTTGAGATCACTTCGTGTGAATATACTAAAACAATTATTCACCTCTGGCGAATAATTGTTAAATATTACCAATGGGCATTAGCCTCTTTTGTACATGATTATATATTACCAATATATTTGTATCTTACTGTAGACATTTTATTTAACATGGCGGACAAGTCGGTTTCTTCATCGCCGGTATGCTTTAACATTTTTCGGCAATTTGAGCATACACCTAAACAATCAATAGAACAGTTAATCATTTCACATCCAGTTCATGGTGGGAAAGCGAACAACCACCTTCCAGCTGCTGTAGGACTAGTAGAGACACTGTGTACTAAATTCAGTCAGAAACAATTAGTCACAACTGTTTCACGAAAGAGAAAATTGTGTGCAACTGTTTTCCCTCAAATCTATAACACTAAGGGAAAAGACTTTGAAAAGTCACAAGAAAATGTGTTGCGTAGCATTGCAACATATTTTTGTAAGGGAGTGATGGGTAAAGCTAAGTACAGGTCTGTCTATCAATCCGTCTCTATGAAAAAGGGAGTTAAGAAAGGGTTTAAACGTTACAGATTGAAAGTAATGGGTTGTAAAATTCCATCCCTGCTCCCATACATCAAACTGATGGAGCATGTAAAAACCATCGACCTTGGCAAAATAGGTAATGTAGGAGAAGTGTTTTGTGCAGATCTTAAAGAGGAAGAAAAAGTGAATGGCTGTTTCAGATACTTACCAGATTTCCTGCCATCACTTGCCTCTTTTTACTTAACTTTAGAGCAACAAACAGAGGAGAGGTTGTTGTGGTTTAACACACCTAACACATTTCAGGTTGTTCTTGGGGGAGATGGTGCCCGTTTTGGGAAAGATGATACAGTCACTGCTTGGAATGTTAGTTTTCTCAATAGGGGACAACATATCTTAAGCAGTAGTGAGAACTTCCTCATTTTTGGAGCTAACTGCTCTGAAAGTTCTGTTCCCGTACAAAGGTATGTGAAGCACCTCTTACAAGAGATGACCACTATCGAAAACAAAAGCTACAGTATTAATGGGAAAGACATCAAATTTAAGTTGGTAGAGTTTCCTAATGATCTCAAAATGCTGGCATTCCTTGCTGGAGAACTATCTTTAAGTGCCAGATATTTCTCAACCTTTGGCAATGTGAGCACTGCTGACTGCAGTCATGTAAAAGGGACTTTTGGAGCTGGTCCTGGCAATAAATGGAAGCCATGGGTCTACGACAAAAGGGTGGCTGTTGCAACGGAGGTTGAAAAGGTAAAGAAGCAGGTCAGTAAACAGAAAGTTTCAGAGAAAACAAAGCGAAAAAAAGTAACTGACTTTATTGCCTCGAAAGGCAGTAGACAAGAATTTGAACCATTGGTTGGAAAGTTTATTGATAGAACACATGTCGAACCATTACATCCAAAAAACAATTCTTGTCAGCAATTATTTACCCTGATCCTATATGAAAGCATTGGAAAGTCAGCACTTGCATCAAGCATCTCAGACTTTGATGCTGTGCCTTGTACATCCCCATTTTATAAATTGGTCAACTGCCTTCAAAAAAAGGTCAAAATGGGTCGTCTTGCTAAGAAAGTGATTAGGTGGTTTAATGAAAACAAAGATCTTGCCCGGTTTCAATACAGATTCACTGGTCAAGATTCTCATTTGTTCCTACAGAATTTCATGTTTACAATTGATTCTATCAAGCAAGCACATGATTCAGAGAAGCAAACCTTTTCTCTCCATGTATTTGCCTACATGTCACTGCAATCGAGGCAAATTGTCTCCCTGTTTTGTAGAGTTGTCAATGTTTCTCAGGAAAACATTGCAGAGCTTAAACAGTGCTGCAGCAGCTTATTTGGCACAGTGACCCCAACAACCTGGACTGTGGGACATATCATTCCTGCCCATGCATCTGATGTTTGTCAGAAATACAACTTGGGCTTAAATGCAGTGTCTATGGAGGGCCGAGAAGCCAAGCATATGGCAATTCGAAGGTATAGCCAGAATACCAATCATCATGCAAGATGGATGCAGATTTTTCAGCACGAATTTGTTCACCTTATCTGGCTGAGAGAAAGGGGCTATGGGGGAGAAGATATTTCTAGATCTAAGCAAACCTATATACCACTAAGGGTAACAAATGGACAAGCCTGTTTTTGTGGCTTTGACAAAGGGCCTGAAGAAGACAAGTGCTGTTATTGTTCACATAACTACAGAGCCCAAATTGAGAAGAGTGTTCAACTAGGGAAGATCACTGTAGACAAGAATCTCTGTTCTGTATAGTAGCTGCAAAAACTAGGATTAGCTTACTGTAAGTCCTCAGAAGTCAGCAATCAACAGAGCATTTTAACATGAATTTTTCGTGCCTGTTCCAAGGTTTCAGTCTGTCTTTTTCTCATGGTCCTTTTAGATATCCGGACATTTCCCTGTTCATCACTTGTTGCTGACAGCTGCCTATTTTGAATGGCTGCAGGATGCTCACAAATAGTTGCCTGTAGTCGATTTTCCTTGTCAGCTACATCATCCACCTAGTTAAAACAAAACAAAAAAATTAAAAATTAAAACTTAAAGCTTGAAGAGTATACATGGTGTAGAACAGCAGCAGATTATTATCAATATTTTCCCTTTGTTTCATTATCAAATTGTTCAAATTTAATGGTGAAAAAACTATTCTGAGGCAAAAATATTTTATGCTGCACATACAGATTCTTCTCATGCAATTACAAACTAAATTACTGACTACAAATTGCAGTTGCCCCTTCGGGTTCGTGCAGTTTTGCTAGCCTTTGAAAAATTTACTAGTGCTTCTGCATTCCAAATTACACTCAAAATCATGTGATTAACTATAATAGTGAAAATAAATATTCAATGCAAAACTTTGGCTCTGTGAAAATTTCAGATTTTCTGAGTGTGAAAAATAGTTTAATTGCACCAGTGAATTAAGGGTTTAAGGAGATCCGGTTTGTGGTAGAACGAATCAGTTTTCTAACGACTATTAACAGCTCTATTAAAAAACGTAAAACGTTGATAACCTTTTGCTGAATTCTTCGTACTTTGGCTTGCTTTGCCTGAAGATCTCTTGTTGCAGCCAAAACCTTTTCTTGTTCGAGGGCAGTTCTTTCTCGAACCTCTTTCAGCTGTCTCATCATAGTTGCCACATTAAATCTTGCGTACACTTTTTTCTTCCTAAAAGGCATGCTAAAGTTGGAGTTAATTTAATGAAATCTTTAACGGATCAGCAGGACTTTGAAATCCACGATAAGATGCTTCAATTTGTCTTCGTGCGCATTCTCTCCGCCTGCCAAACAGAAAAAAAATGCCGATTTTAAAGAAACTATAAACATAGGTTTCTTCTTCAGGTATTCTTCTTCCCAGAACATCCAAATTTACAATTGAATAATTGTCCACGCTAAAGCCTTTTGAAGCCAAAAATGCTCAAAAATACGAAAAAATAAGAGGCAAAGAAGTTTTCACAATACCTTGTCGTGCAAAAGCTCGTTTCGTCGAGTAAAAAACACCAAACCGAGCATGTTTGGTACCATCTGAAAGCTGGAGTTTTCAACCATCTTTCTTCGAGGAGCGTTTTTGGCAGTATCCGCTTACTGCATAGCACTTTGGGCGCAAAGTTACTGATTAGCATAACAAAAAAGTAATTTGACCCCTACCCCCACGGGGGAAATAACCTCCCGCCATTTTGAAAACGGATTTCGCGGCCACATTTTGAGTCTCTTGTGCCCACCGTGTTGCCTTCTTTGATTCTTTTAGTTCCTCTAATTTGCTTTAAAACAGGGCAGATTCTACACAGCCTTTAGGCACATTGGAAGCTGCCATGTTTGACTAACTGAGGAGCACTGGGTTCTACTATTGATTTGAGTAATATGAGTAAATGTATGAGGTACCTGTAGAATATGTTTATCAAAAGTTGGTTGACTTTGTATGCAAGTCATCGTGGCTCAGTGGATAGGACATCAGGACATGAATCCAGTGAACATCCAGAGGTCTTCACTTCAATACACGAGGTAAGCAAAGATAAAAAAAGCGGCTAGCTTGTAGTAAGGGGTAGAGATAGGATGGATAGGGTACAGTCGTGTAGGAAATGGCGTATTACAGTATTATTTTTTGTTTTGAAAATTAAAACAAATTGACCTAGGTTGAAACAAATTGACCTAGTTTTAAAAAGGAATTAACCTAAGGCTCAATTTAACCTGCAACATATACATAAACGTTACACCTTGCTATGGCATTTCCATGGTCAGTAGAGCAGACGATTGTTAAATCTAACAACTCTCCCGAATCGAGTCTTCGCTGCCAAGAGAAACATGGCCGAGCTTCCAATCTCTCCTTGAATAAGTAATTCTTTCCAACCATGATCTTCAACATCTTCATCGCTGCTTCCATCAAACTCGGCATCTCTTTGGTCTTCTTCCGAATTATTTTGGTTGGCATCTTCGGTGTTTGTCCGAGTATTGCACTTATATCCTGTATGGTTTTCATGACAGTGTAAATGTTGCTGTATTCGCTGGCGGATCCTGCTATCCCAGGGCAATAGCCCAGGTTTGTGCATTGTGCAGTAAAAAGTGAAACAGTGGCATTAAATGCACTTCAACAAGAAATGGTTTGCTGACCGTTCTCGGCATCATTGGAAAAGAAGAGAGTTGTGTTTGTTTAACCTCAGCAAAAACCAAGCAAAGTCTTTCCTTTCAATGCCGGGGCTCAAGAGACGAGCCAATGTTTTGTACCTTTCCAAGTAATGATATTACAGTGGGCCTTCGCCCATGCACCCTAAAGTCATGAATGGTTTGGGTGGAAAGTGGTGTTTCAAGGGATCTTTTTTTCAATGAGTGATCGGCCAGCGATTGGGGAGGGAGCTCGGTCCCGAAGGCTTTTCTCTGATATGCTACCCTAGTTGTTGCATGTGTGGTATGCTTTCCATCTAGAGTGTCCTCACTGAGGTCATTGTTGTCTGTGGCAAATTGCACAAACACACCAGGGGATAGGTTTGACGGAACGATAACACCATGTTGTTCTGACTGTGCACTTATTTCTCTTGCTAGACTGGTTGTTATTAATTCGACATCATTATAAGAGCCCCAATGGCCGATTTTGTTCAGCAAGATAAGAAGTTGTTTGGAGCCCGTGAGATGATGAACAGTAATGCCAAGTCTAACATGCTTAGGTGTTCTGATGCGACAGCGTGTTGATGTGTGTACTATATCCTGACCTAACATCAAAACTCTCCTTTCATCATCTTCATTAAAGCAGCAAGTTGTTTCATTGACATCCTCATGATGATCCCATTGCGAAACAAACCAGCAAAGAAAACTGTACAAGCTATCAGAAATAACTTGCCTTCCCAATTTTAATGAAGTGTCGTCAACTGATAAAGGTTGGATGCAAATTCCTGTGCTTCGTTTTACGTCCGTTTTTAATATCTGCGCTGCCTGGAAGAGAATTTTCATCTTAGCGGCCTCTGTATCTTCAACCTCTTCAGGGGGACAGCAAAAGTATTCCTCAGCATCCGAATTTGAGAAAATAGCCGCAGCATTGATAAGACCTTGCACAGAAATGCTGCTTGAGTAAATTAGTTCTGATTTAGATGGATCTCACTGCTTATCAAAGACCACGGAATCAGAAAAGTGGTTGATCAATCTTTTCTTTAGTTTCTCGCTTTGGTATGACTGAGACAAACTACTGTTTGAAGAAAGTATTTCTTTATATCGTTCAAGCAAGTAGCTAATTTCGTAAACCTTGCCAGCTGTCATTTCACTATCGATTTCTGTTAAAAGTTCTTTGAACAACTTTTCATAAATACACTCTTCATTTGGGTTTTCTTCTTTGAATACTTGATGTTTTATATTTGATTTACTTACATAACTTGCTCGACAAGCGCTATGATATTTCACTTCTTCAGCAATGAGATCAAGGCCTCAGATATTTGTTAGCAGACCAGTATCACCTCTTGCTTCTGCTGGGGAAATTAAGGTTTGACAGGCATCAAAACTTGACACATGAGTGAGGGTTTTAACACCTTTATGCTTGGATTTTTGACAAAAGATGGACAAAGACCAGATGATTTTTGATGTCTTAGATCTAGATAAACGGCTCTCTTCAAGAGGCTTATTTTCATACGTTTCTGCAGTCTTGGCTCTTTTAGTAGGTAATAACCCGGATAGTTCTTCTTTATCATCATTGGTACTAGCCATATAACATTTATTAAATTTCTACATGAAAACTATACAAGTTCTTAACATTACTTCACGAATACATGATGCTGTGAAAAGAAGCATATCCTAAACAATGTCAGCCGTCAAAATGTATTTTTCCCCCAGAATAAAGGTAATATCTTATTACTTTATTTTTATAGTGCTTCTGTGACCTTCTACCCCAATTCACAGTGTGTACATTTAAAAACTTTTATTCACATTAGAACTTCTTTATTTGTTTCCTTTTTAGAGTAACATTGACCATACACCATGCTTATGGAAAATCCAGGTAAAAACTATAAAAAAAAGCAGTTATTTTGCGGATAAAAGCTTACAAAATAGAATAATGATGACTGGGAATGTTTCTCCGTACTTACAGATCACGTGGATAGCAATTCTAATTAATGACTATTGAAATAAGGTTTGGAGAGAAAATGTCCAAATAGGGGTTTATTGTAGCTTCTTCCTTTCTGTCTGTCTACCTTTACTTTTCTCTTTAAATAATAACAGGAAAAGCACATTACTAACCTTTTAAGAACTTCAAGATGGCGGACAAGGATTTTGCATCATCAAGGCATCATGGGACGTAAAATTAGTATTGGATGCGAGAAAGATTCCGGAGCTGTTATCATACGGTGGTATATCCCAAAGTCAGTTATTGAAGGTCAGTCTCAGGTTCTTAGCAACCGTTACTATGGTAACATTAAGGTGACAGTCAAACTCCTCTAAAACGAGAAAGACAAAGCATGTGCAAACCTTCAAATTTCGAGTCCAGTGCCATTTTTCGTTTTTATAATGCAGATGTTTCGTCTGTTTTGCGTGAAAGGTCATAAGGAGAGGATTTAGTGACTTCAATACAAATGCAATTCTTGTTGATTGCTATGTGTAGACTGGAACCTTGAATACATATTCGGGAAAATTATTTAACACTCTAATGCATCCAGACGTAGTAAAAATTTGTTTTGTTGATGTCAAACAATCAGTATGCGGCTTTTCCCTTGCAAATTCTAAACTGACGCTGTGAAACAGTAAAATGGAATAAGTTTGTTTTCTGACATGCCAACGGTTACCATGGCATCG